GAAAAGAAAGACAAAGAGGGGAAGGGAAAAGACTTGCATACTTGTAACTCTTTGTGCATTTAGCACATTGAAACATCTACTGTGCAGCAGCTCTGGGACGACAAAGAATGCAAGACATGTTTTTATCTGACCTAGCACCATTGTTACAAGTAATAAGATATTACCAGAATGGAAATGAAAATCCTAGTGGAGCCATACTTAGCTCAGGGAAAGTATCACAATACTTCAGGAAATGCCAATTTGTTGAAAATGAAGAAATGTCTATACTAATTTTTTTGTAATTAGATAAACACAGGAGGTAGGTTTCTGAGTCAGCTGTGGATATTTGATATTTCAAGTGGATGTTAACAACCCTTGCTCTTTCTGTGCTCCTATCTCTAACCTTTTTTGCAGAGATACTCTGTCTTACAGTGCAAATGCCAATGGAATGAGGAAGAGGAGAAGTGGGACCATTTGCAAACTGCTGTCACTGCTGTAAAAGGAGATGAAGATGCCTACAACTAAAACCACAGGGCGTGAGCTTCTAGGATTCTTCCTCTATTGGTGATCCTTTCTCGTCCAGTGCTGAGAGTGAATTTAAAATGATGCTGTTATTAGGAGGAGTTGTCATTTAGCTTTCACGAACACCATCAACTGCATGTTCATTTATCCCAAACTAACTCACCACTGCTGTGCTTTCTATTTAGAATCATAGAATCATTACAGTTGGAAAAACCAATATGAACATCAAGTCCCAACCATCAGTCAATGCCTGTGATTGCTCTAGACCATGTCACCCAGTGTGATATCAGCCCTTTTCTTGAACACTTTCATGGAAGGTGACTTCACCACCTCTCTGGGCAGCCTGTGCCAATGCATTACCTCTCTCTCAGAAAAGAAATTTTTCTAATATCCAACCTCACCCTCTCCTGGCACAACTTGAGGCCACTACCTCTTGTCCTGTTGATGCTTCATTTGTCTTCTTTCCACTGTCTCTCATTGTGCCATAACTATAAGTCTACTGGACAAGAGCCTTTGTTGTCAGAGCTTTGGGGAATTCACTGAAAATATTTTGTGTAGCTAGATGCAGGTCATAACAACATATCTGATGATTGGGCCTTATATAACAGGGATTCTAAATTAGGTGAATGACACAGAAAATATTCTAGGCATTGAAGTCATATGACTACCCATGGATATATCTACGTGGCTTTTTGTATACATAATGAGTTCACCTGAGTCCCCAGCTAATCAGCAGCGCTGGCACCACTTGCAGCTTCCTGCTTCCCATGCTTGCAGCAGGGCAGAGAACAGCGCAAAGTGTGCCCGCAGCAACCAGAGACCTGCACAGCACAGCAGGACACATGTAGTGCAAGTTGTGATTTAGGCACAGTGGAACATGACACAAATCAATACTTTCAAAGTTGAGAGTCAGTGTGGAGAAAATAAAGAAGTGCAAGCAGCAAAGTGTGTGGATCCACGTGATCCAATTACTAACCCTCATTGCTGGAACACCCTCCTCTAAGCGTGCTCTTCATTTGACTACAGTGGTCAATACTCCGCAAAATCTTCAGGTGTTCTTGATCTTTGAGCAAAGAAGCAGAGAAATGTAGCAATGTTTTGGTTGTTTGCGAAGGCTTGGTAAGTCTTCAATTTAAACAGCAGTTAGTTACTGTTACAAACAACAAAGTGGTCAACACAAGAAAAAGCAGAGCAAGCTAATTAACTGTTCCAAGTGAATCTGGAATGTACAAGTTGCTATAGTCAGTGTGTAAAGCATCCCTTGGGGGTTTATGCTATTTAGGATTGTATTGATAATCCTATAGAAAGGGCTGATTTCTGTATTCACAGCAGAGGGTAAATCTAACTGGAATTTGCAGGAACTGGGAAGCGATGAGAGTACATCCAAGTGCGGAAAACGAGCAGAATTCAATGTCTGCCTCTTTCAGGAAGCTTATAGCATCTCACAGAGCCAAGGTGAAAGGAGTTAATAGCACACACTGAAAGCCAACACTAGAATACACAGTTTTCAACAGCAGCACAATTCCCAGCTACACAACAACTACAGTCAACTGCCAGACTTGCTCTGACAGGGCTGAATGTTGTTGCTGTGGAGAGAGACATAACAGCACCTGAACAAGGGAGTTTTGTTGCAGTTTTTGGTTCACTTCCTATCAATGTCCCAAATCCTTTTTTTTTTTTTTTTCTTAGGATACTGTTTGTTGGAGACTCAGCTGCTTTTACATCTCTGTTCCTACTAACAAGCCACATCCCAGTAGATCCAAGAAGTGTGTCTATGTATCATCAGTTCTTAACATTGCATCTACTGACCATAAAGAAATAATAAATAGATCTTCTATGAAGGAAAATACCTTTGCACCAAAATTTACATATCGCTTGCAAATATATCATAGTTAGAATAAAAGAATTCAGTAAAGATAGAAGCGATGACCAGCACAAACTGGAAGAAGCATGCAACTTTGCAGACAAAAAGTATGAAGGACTGTTGGGCTACATTTGGGAAGGGGAAAATAAATGGAGTAAAGTAGAAAAGTAATATTTATATGTACTAGTTCATGGAATGGAATCCAGTGGGGTTCTCAAAACCATAATTAAAAAGGTAGGAGGACATATAAAAAAATGCAGACTTTAGAATTGGTTGGAAAGATTTTGTTACAGCATCTCCTGAAAGCCACCTGGGGAATGCATTACAATACCAAGGTAGCAAAACAAACACAGACCCAGCAATCTACCCAGATGCTGAACTTTCTTCCTAGACTAAGATTTCTGAAACCTTTGCTTTTCAGTGCCTTGAACTGTGAATGCCCACCCTGACACTGTTTTCAAGCTCCTTTCCACAGAGGGTGTTGAACGCTGTCTAAAAACAGTAGCCTTTCAATGCATATCCAGTTGAGAAATCTTGAGTAGAGGCATGCAGCAACACTCACTTTTAAAAGAAAGCCTTTAGGTGTAAAACCACACATCATACCAGGGTAGAAATTTGCACCTGGCCCTAGAGAGACCTGTCCCCTTTACAATTATTCAGAGATCTGTGCTGGGAGAAAAGAGCAGCAGTGAAACGTGAAGAACCACGAAGCAGCAAGGCATGCAGTACCTTAAGTATTCCTTGCAGCAGCAAATAGTGCTGGAAATGGCTGTGTCAGCATTTCTCCTTGAAGAACTTTGCAGGAGCAGCAGTGTGCTCCCAGATGGCCGGCTGCATTTGGGCTCTCGTTCTTTTGTCTTGCCTGAAATGTGCAAAGACACAGGATTAGAGTTGTGAATCTGTTCATTTGTCCCTCTGTTACAATGAGAAAGTCTAGAAAATACAGGAATACCTGAACTCAATTTGTATATATATATAACTAGCACTTTCCAAATCCAGCTTTTATAGTAATGCAGAAGGGTGCTTTTACATAGGCTAACAAACCACATTGAAGCCACAGGTTTCTCAATAAACACATCTTCTGCAATGATGAGACACTTAGGGGGTTAAAGTTTATAACAGCAAAATGCAGAGAGCTTAGCTCACCTGCCAAGCAGTAATTCCTCCAAGCTTTCTGCCATCTCATCTCTTCTGACATTGAACAGGATACCCCCTGCCTTATGCACAATCTTTGGAAGGTGTAGCTTAGCTGGCTGTACTTGAAAATTTAAAGCCAATGTTCACTTCATCTCTTCAGTCAGAATGAAGACTAAACTGGTCATTCAGACTCATGGATTTTGCTAATATTTTGCTCGTTATTTTCTGCTTGGATCTTAGGGTGCAGGGTTCAGGAGGAGCTGTGAGCAGTGCAAAGTCTTGCAGGAATGAGCTGTGTGCACTTCACCATGGGATTGCTTCTTCATCATAGCTGGACAAGAAGGCTGATGTCAGCAAGACAAGCAAGGAACTTCTTTACATTTGGCTTTGCGTATGTTATATACATATGTATACATACAAAAAATGAATTAAAAAGTGACTTAGAAATGCTTATTCATTTGGCAAAGTTCTTCAGGATGCAAAGGTTCTTTTCTCAGTGAGGTTCCTGGCACTCATAGCATTCTGTTATGTTTTTATTATTACAAAATGAATTGAAACCATATTTTTCTCATTTCAGTAAGTACCTTTGTGATGTCCAAACAACTCCAACAATGATATCATCTGTCTCTTTCCTCAAGAGAGGAATCCAGGCCAGACCTTGATATTCTTGCTTATTCCTGGTGCACACAGCCTTACACCAAAGCAAAGGCAGCAAGCCTTGCTTGTTGGAGGGGAAATGCTTGTCACTGTACTGTCCACTTCATACTGTACCTCCTACAGATTGTTCCCCCCTCTTGAGGGCTGCTCAACACTATAAATTAAGAGTTGAGGCTTGAATCCTGCTAACCTGATCTGTGCAGGCAGATACCTGAGGCCATTCTTCAGCAAGACGTGTTCCCCATTAAGGATCTGCCCATATGGATCCTATTTCTGCACCAATAATTTTCAGGCTATGTGCAACGTGTGGCATAATTGGGCTGCAGTGCTTGAAGTGGCCTCTGATTTAATGAAACAGATGATTCACCTTCTATTTGTTAAGTCTCTCAGTTTAGGTCAAAGGTAACTTCAGCTGGCAATGGTGGGTCCACAGGGACAGACATGGGTTTAACTTCTCCAGAAGCATCATCCTGCCTCCAACACACTTTGTGTCAGCAGTACAAAGCTCTCCAGCACAGCTCTGATCTGCAGGCTGGCGGAAGGGGATGGAGAGGTCCAAGAAACTATCTGTGCTTACTTCTAAGATGCACACAGGCTCACAGCAACGCACACCAAACAACCCGTGCCCTCTCTCAAGAACTTCACAAACCTTCTTGTGTTCTCCACACTCTCCAAACCAATTCTCCCTCCTTCCCAGTAGCTCACCAACATCCTTCCTCCATCATCAGCATCACCAGTCCATCTCCCTTTATGCTAGGGAATTTTCTTTCTATAAGGACTGCAGATTGTTTCCTAAGCAGCTTCTCTTTCCTGAAGGTGCTGCCTGTTTAGCTGTGGCCCCTTTCTCATTCTTTATTCCCTGCAGACACAGTCTTATGTGGTTGCTCGTGCTACTGCTCTTCAGGCATCCTGGGTTAGGGGGAAATTGTGCCTTGCTGTTCTTCCAGGTATAGGGAGAGAAGAGAGAAAGCTGTAAAAACCATAAAACAAACAAACAAACAAAAAACAAACAACCAAATCTTTGAAGACACAAAACAGAGCTCTCAGCAAGTAGTTAACTATTTGCCATCTCTGTCTTCCAAATGTGATAAATGTAAAGATGGCATAAAGAAAAATGAAAGCACTAAGGATGTACCAAAACTGGCAGGATGCAAGAGGATCTTGCAAATGTGGCTTCTCTCTTTTCATCGTTGTGATGTGTTCCCATCCATCACTATGTTAATCATTGCCTAAGTTGCTGTCTGAGAGGCTCAAGATTGGAAGTTTGACCAAATAACCACCAAAGAAGAGGTTCAGCCAACTCATACTCCATTCTTTTCTATTCCCAGGTCTCCCTAAGGAAGTCCTACAGGCCTGCCCACTTCATCCAAGAGCTCTTCCTTAATTCTTCTCAATAGAGCTTTGCTAGGCAATCATCTGCTTCAGGATCTGGTGAGCACTGCAAACAGGCTCCAAGCAGCCAAAGCCAGCCTTTTTCCACCAGATGTGACTGTGAAAGAAAAGCTAATGAATCAGTTCTGCCTGGAACCTTAAGGCAAGTTGCATACTGTCCTGTTCCCCAAACCTGGCTTCCTTCTCACTCCCCATTGCTAAATTCAGCATCCTACCACGTAGGCTAGTCCATTGGTCAATGCTGATCACTTGGAGAAGAGCTCTAGCGATTGATGAGACCCGTAAATGGGAACCAGCCCTTCCCAAAGAGATACAGCCAACACAACAGAAGGTAAGCACAATAAATATACCTTCAGACAATTGATCTAAAGAGGTGCTGATAGTTCCTGGACACAACCTAACCTACAAGCATCTGGATGCTAGAATTGAGAGATGCAGTATAAAAATTTACACTGAGTCATGCATTACAAGGAGCATATTCTACCAAACATGTCTACACCAGGCAATGAAGTTGTGCTGTGGAAAAGCGGAGATTAAGACTCACAGTGAAATACAGCTGACCTTGTATTGGTGCCACCCCTTCTTATCCGTAAAAAAAACAAAAACCACACACACAAAAAGTGCAGTATGCACAAGCCAAGAGTAAGGAACTGGCCTGCTTCTGTGAGAAGCACCATGCACTTGCATGTACCATCCCTTCGTAGCCTGCTCTAAGGACAATGATTACATTCCCTTGGAGGTGGACTGAGGACCTGAGATGGCGGGTGGAGTCCCAGCTACTCTGCAGTGCAGCTTGTGTATGACATCCACTTATTTTCACTTTGTAGTACTTTCATAGGAACACAGGTATGATACACTCATCATTACTATCTACTCTCACTTATCCAGTGCTTGCTGGACCTGCCATGAAATCACTAAATACTTCAAATCCAAAGGCTGATATCAAGCAGGTGGTAAGCAACTGTTCCAAGGATCCTTAAGACATGAGCAAAACAAGTTCTCCATCTACATTACTGGTAAATTGTTCTTGTTCAACTATACAACAAGAAGCAGCCAATCTCCATCTCGCAAACTTCAGGAAAGAGCTTAGGAGTCTTCATCAGCTTTTGTTGGGATGACCAGCATCACTGCTGCAGGTTATTCACAGCTTTTTCCACACCTGGCAGCACTGCATTCAGGAGGACCAGGCATTTCCTGTGGTGGTGGACGCTAAGGATGCCCTCTGCTTTAGTGAATCTGAGGCGTGAATGAAGGAATGGTCAAGAAATTTCCACCTGCTTCTTCAGAATTGGTACAATAAATACCAGATATTTCTATACATTGTACAGAAGCATCTTGCTGCTTCACTAGGAACCAGCCACAAAGCTTGAAATTCCTCAGTGCTAGAAATGAAAGGGATAAAAGGAGACAAAACAGCAAGGCTCTGGCATTCAGTTCTTCCCCTCAAACACCACATCCTGTTGACGGTAGAAAACTGAAGTCTTTTAGTTGCCAGAATTCACCTACAAGAAAATCCCACTGCAGTTCTTGAGCCATGTCAGTTATCATCTTGCTGAGTAGACCTTCTAGATGCTCTTCCAACAGTAAGAAAATAAAGGCACTTTTCCAGTTCAAGCTTCAGCTGTCAATTGTCACAGATGACTGGAGACTCAGTAGCCACCTCACAGTGAAAAATGCCACAGAACACATGCAACTATTAGCAGATTCTGGGCGTTCATGGGGATCTCAAATTTTAAAATGTAAATTACTGTTGCTCATTATCTTTTAGTAGAGCTAGAGTTGTCATATGCCTCTACTTCCTAACCATTGCCTGTAAGGGATGCTTGCAGGCTCACAACATGAAATAAGGAACCTTTGTTGTGCCTACAGATGCTTTGTTACAGAGTTCCTGCTGGTGGAAGGTGTGGTCATGAATGCTTGAAGTAGACAGTGTGCAGGTGAAGCTGGAGGACATGATGACCTGGTAAAAACCATCTTTTGTCTGTACCTCAAGATCTACAATTGGGAAACTAAGTTGTTTTTCCTCAGATTTTGATGCCAGTTAACACACAGAGCAGCTGGGAATCTTAAGCAAAATTTCAGCCAAAATTGCAACACAAAAGCATCAACATTTATAGTAAGATTACCTGGGTAGTCACAAAGACTGTTTGCTTGATGATGTCTAACTTTAGGACACTGCAAAAAAGGAGTAGGGAACTGCAAAGGTCCTGTTCTGTCACCAGGGCACTGCTCCTGATCCTCAGTATCACTGAATAAATTGTACAAGTACCTGCCTTGCCTTCAAAGACACTCCCAGGGGTAACTATAATGCAAGCTAAAACAGAAAAGATGCAGAACTAAGGTTTTATGAAAAGATCGCTTTGCTACATGAAAATAAATAGGAAAAACAAAAACCTATGGCAATAACAAAGTGTACAATTACAGTGTTATGGAACAAAATTAACAAAATTTCACAAAGTAAGGGCAGTGTATAATAAGCACACACATATTTTGAAACTGCTGTAGAACTATCTACAATTCCCAATTCTATTTTTTGCTGATGCCTCACTGCTTACACATACATAGAAATGATTCTTCGTAAGACTTTTTTTTTTTTCCCTTAGGGAAACAGGAGAGCATTAGAGGTCTGGAAATTATTGAATATTAAGCCTACTTTGGGATAACACCTATTGTTATTCTATATTAGGAACTGCTGCCTGGAACAGATCCAGTAAAGAGATTTATTTTCATCCTTTCAGATTAATTTGGATGTTTCTGGCAACTCCGAGATTTGCAGTGTTTCACATAAACGGAGTGCATGGGGAACATGATAGCTGCACCCAGAATCATTAAGTGGTTCTGGTCCTTTCCTTCTTTACAGCAGAACTTTGGCAGCCAGACAAGCCGTTAAAACATTTCTATAGCCAGACAGAAAAAGCACTACAGGAGATAGGAAGCTACATGCTACTTTTGAAAGGAGCAACAGAACATTCTAACAAAAACTTTGTGCATGGGAAAAGGAAAGAGTTTGTATATGCTTAAGACAAGCACTATTTACACAAAATACCATCAATTGAGGAAAACATATTGCTTTGTTACATAGAGTATTCCAAAAAGGCAGGTCAAAGCCAGGCAAATACCTCAGTTGCACCTTGGAAACACATACTGTCCTGTACTGATAGGTTATTTAAGATGACAATTCCCTCTGTCTCAAAAGTCTGTTAAAAAATGGAACCAAAGCTTATCCTCAGTATTTCTCTCAGTTTCAGTTACTTCTCTATCAATCTCTGGCCTGCTCTAGCAGTAATATTCTCTTTGATATTGTATCATTGGATTCTCCTTCAGCTGTCTCCAATCTGCACCTCCAGCAGATGGAAGCCACTGTATTTTCAGAAAATGGTTTCTTCCACACAGTCCTCTTACATCAGAGGGCTACCTACCATTGCCACCTGCTATTTCTCTGCTCCTACAGATATTGCAAAGCCACTGTTCAGACTTCCTGCTATAGGTTCTCAAGTGATGACATCAAAAAGAAGCAAGGTATTCTGCAGCAAAGAAACAATTCAAATAGCCTTAGTAGGGAGCTTTTGATTGATTACAATCCAGGCATTGCTGTGAAAGGCAGTGTGATGATCAAGCACAGCAACCAATCAAAGCACTTGGAGCCAACTAATTAGCAAAGCTAATCACAGTTTGGCTCCAGAAGACATTTCAGTAGCTAACGGGTGTTTTACTGCATTTCTCTTCTTCCATTTGTCTCTGTACATCAGTCAAAAAGATCCTATTTACATAGCCAGAAAGAATCTCTGGCACTTTTGGTCAATCACATGGAACTAGGGATCAGTTTTCCGTGGCTAACTATGCACATATGCCTATACTCAAGCAACAGATCTTACCAGCTGAAGTGCAATTTTTGTGGTCTCTGTCTCATCAGAAACAAAAAGAAGACAAACAGTAGCAGCCCTCTGATGTACCTAGACAGCTTCTTTAGACAGCAAATGAGCCTGCAGTTGTTATTACAGCTCAGAAACAGAAGTTAGGTGGAACCAATTTGCTTCACAAGGCATTAAACCTTGCCTGCTGTCAAAAGACTCAGGAAGCTCAACCAGTCTGCTGTGCAGTGAGGATTCCAACAATTGGAGTAAGTCACTTTGCTGCATCTTTTTTTATTCCTTCTGAAAGCATTCCTGATAGAGGACTGGTACAAGGCTCACCTCACATCACCTTGTTTACTAGAAGAGACAAACATTCCCAGGATAGAAAAGCATTTTCCCCCTAACCCTCGTCCTTTCTTCCGCCCCCATTATTAAGATTGTAATTCAGATGCTCTTAAACAAAGATTTTCTGTCTAATCCTAACTTTTTTTTTTTATATATATATCCTTTTCAGAAAAAGAACAAGCTATTACTGGTTATTCCATTTTCTGGCTGAGACAACTGCATGAACAGGAAAGCATGCCAGATATCAGATAGAAATAGCAGCAAAAGAAATGATAACACTTTTAAAAGCAATTCTTAGCTACACGAATGTAAATAAAAGCTCCTGAAACACTGAAGATATACATAACCATTTTAATAACTAGGTTTACTAGAACTAAAGTGTTGTAGGGTTTGTTTTTTTCCAAATTTGTTGCTTGCCTGTGGTCACACTGGGAGTTGTATTTATCACTGTCTCTACAGTCATTCAATTTTCTGTTGCTGGGGGTTTTCCTCCCACTGGAAAGAAAATACATAGAAGCACAATTGCAAGTTAAACAACTGGCATGCATCGGGATAGCTACAAAACTTTTCAGTCATTCAAGTTAAAGCTATTTCCACCTGCCACTGCTTCAGTTAGACAGAACTTCCACAATTAAGAACGCTGTGTTAACACTGTTTCAAAACGCTTTAGAAAAGCTCCAGCAGAACATACAGATCACACGTTACTACAGAGTTCTTTCTGTGTCTTAAGACAAGGTTACTCACTAGGATCACAAAACAAAACAAACACGACCAAACTAAAAGGTACCTTACAAAAGTATACACGTTCTCAAAGAGGCACCGCTTTACCAATAAATTCAATACTGTGTAAAAAGCAATTCACATTTTATTTTAAATTGCAATAAACTGTACAAAAATGTTTCATTCTTGCCAAAAATAACAGCAATATTTTCAATCTTACTTCTAGACAAACAACGAACTCTTATTTTAATTCTTCCTGGGTGAGTTCACAAGTAAACAGACAATAAGACTCACTTTTTTTTTTTCTTTTTTTTTGTCAAACAGACTTACATTGTACTGGAATAAATGTTAATTTTTTTAGAGTCCTTAGGGAATTTCAGTACTCCTACCATGCTTGTTAAAAGCCTAAAGTTGTGTGTCTCACACAAAGGAATGTAAACAGTCAGGAGATTAAAGAGGTTGACTCTTCCAGTGAAACCTTAAACGTATCTCTGTACCACCAGCATTCACTTCACACCAAGAACAGTCCACACCATGAGGCCTGTGCAACTGTTGAATTCATTCTCCAAAATGCCAACTGAGTGGGCATCAGCCAAAGACAAATTCAAAAAGCATGAAGTCAAATTCTAAGTAACAGAACAGAAATAGATTATACCCTTTTTAACACTTTCAGTTTTGTCTTAACCTATTTCATGAGCAAATATTGTAACAGCCCCATCAGATCTACAATCATCACAACGTACTTTTTTCAAGATGCAGCAAGCAAGCACCCAGTTAAGTCAATCAGATACAGAAAGCACCTCTGCAAAGAACATGGGCTTATTTTCAGACTTTGTTCACATAGTACATTTAATACAGACTAACAAAACATAACGTGGGTTATTATTGACCACAGCTTCTTAAATCTGAGACCTAAAAATGGAAATACAATTGCGGTGATTATTTATTTCAGATTTCCAAGTCTTTTTCCCCCCCTCCTCATTACAAGTTAAATAGCAAAAAGCTGTTTAATCAGTCTTAAAAAAAAAAAAATTAAGCGCTCTCTGTTACTTCAGAGTTGTTCGAGGGAAGAAAGTCTGCTTGAAATTCCACTTTACCTGGATAGAGTTTAATGTAGGTGTCCACCATTAAGTCTAAGTCATGTTTTATATCAATGTTTATGTTCAGCAAAGCTAGGTTGCTTGACCTTTGCTCTGTCACGGTGTTTTTCAGGTATGCCTTTAAGCGCTTTCGTCCTATTTCGTATTTTTCATTCTCCACTTTCATCACTGGAAGAATGCACAAGACTTTAAGCAATGCATATACATTAGGGAAATACTTTATGTCTGGCAAGTGAAGTGCTTCATAAATAGTAGCTGGAAGTTCAATATCCTTTCCTCTGTGCTTCCACTTGATTCTCCAACAATGAAGCTCAGCAGAAAGCGTGTCCGGATTAGGTAAGTCATTTTTGTACATGTCAGCATGATGCTCCTCAGACGTATTGAATTTGAGCTGACCCATGACTGAGGGCACTAAAGATAAACACTTCAGAGCTTTTAAATGCTGTTCTGAGAATATATCTTTTAATTCTTGAATTATATGTTCCACTGTAGGGACACTAAGAATTTCCTTGTAGTAATTTTCCGACGTTAACTCAGCATCCAAGTTACCCTGTTGAGACCTGCGGAATTTTCCAGGGAGTTTAATTTGTACATCCAGTTTTGCAGCCAAGTTTGTTGCTTCCTCAAACCAAAATTCATGATAAACTTCAATATTCTCCATCACTTCGTTCAGAGAATGCAACACCGCCGTTAAGCTGCTAGCTGCAAAGAATACATCTGATGTTTGTCCCTGGAGGTTTTTTCCAAATGCTCTCGTAAAAGACAGAACGTTTTTCAGAATTACAATAGTGACAATGAAGTCAAAATCTGTTAATGCACTTGAAAGTACAAATGCTCGACCAGCAATGAAGTTGTTCCACCTGACAGTGGAATCATTGCTTACTGCGTCCAAACACAGCACCAAAGCTTGCATGAGATCCACCAAAACCTCAAAAGTATCATGCCTGCCTGTCCACTGAGAACGGCAGATCTCCTTCAGCTCATTACCCTTCTCCTCGTTGTTCTGAAAAAGAGCAGAAATTGTATTGTCCAGTTCCACCAGTAACTGTGGACATCGACTAAAAAGACAGCGAACTTCTTCGATTGTTCCTAGGGCCGTGGAAACACCAACAACAGGAACCGACTTTGCCAACCACACATTTAAGGCACAAGAGGAACACAGAGTATACACAGCTTGTGGATACTTCTCCAAGAGTCTTGTAGCCACAACTTTCATTTTAGAAGCAAATCCACTGGAGACGATGTAGGCTTGACCCCGACAGTATTCCATGTTCAGACCCCATTTTTCAGTAATAGTCGTATGGAACTTAACAGCTAATATTTCAGGGTCAGCCTCATAAGGTAAAAATCCTATGAATTCTTCTCTCAGATTATGAGAATCATCAACAAATCTCACCAAGACTGGCAAATGTTCCTCTCCTGCTATGTCTACTACTTCATCAGTGACAATAGAAAAGAAATGCGAGTCTCTTACTTCCCTCAATGTTTCTTCCCTAATGCAGCTCTCACAGATCTCAAGCATTTGTTTCTGCTGCGTTTTCGAACAATACTCAAGATTGACTGCAGTCATCTCAAATCGTTTCCTCAGAACTTCATCTCCAGCATTGATTCTATATTCCAGCAGAGCCTGAAAGTTATCTGAAGTAAAAATACCTTCTGGAAGCTCATCCGCATTATGGCTATCCAAGGGAATATTTTGTTTACCCATGAGGATCAGAATTTCAAACAATGACTTAAGGTAATCCTTGTTTTCCCTTTCTTCTAGAGTTAGAGGAACAGATTTTTCCTCTTGCTGCTCCCCACCTTCCTCTGAGACAGCGTTTTGTGCATTGCTTTCATTCAGTTCTTGAGTTGCCTGTTCTCGTTCAAAAGCTTCATTAACTACAAAATACAAAATATTGTAAGTGTTAAGACAACTAAAACATAACGTTTGCTTTCCCCTACTATCCGTATTACCTTTAAGTTACTGGAATCCAGAGAAGAATCTTTCCAGTTTTAAAGTGACTGACTACACTGCAATGAGCTGAACTATCTGAATCAAGCAGCAACTAAATTACCCTCCTGAACAAATAAATAAATTTACACTTATGTGCCCTACAGTTCCTTATCAGCCTTAGTAAACAAAGTTTTAATGAACTCATTATTTTGTCCACTTACTCTTTTGCTGCTTCAGTGTTCTTATTTCATCTTCACTCTTAAAAAAAAAATAAAAAATGATATACTGATGTTATTGTCTACCACATGATCCCTTTAAAATACTGAAATATATCAAGGTCAGATGCAAATATTGCAGATGAGACCATTTTTAGAGTGTTAATACCTACCAAAGACATGCTAGAAGGTCTAAGAGAAGGAGGTTCTTCAGGTAGTTTATTGCTGTCACAACACATATCTATTAAGTGCAGAAGAATGGTTTGCTACTACTGCTAAGGTTCCCATACATATATCAGGAGATTGTTCAATCTGCATTTTACAATTATGAGTAAATCAATTACATCAAAGAATTCCATTTTACTACAAACACGTACTGATAGCAGTAGCCTTCAATTATTTTCTACGTTTCAGTTAATAAACACTTATCAAATGCATCTGTCTGTGGTTCTGATGTATAAACACAGTTTAAGAGTTCAATTCATCTTAATTTTCAGTATACTGAAATCCACAGGGACCTAAAGACACAAAGTGTCCCAAAACAGCCATTGACAAGTTACAGTTCCACAAGAAATTGCCTGACCTTGCTTTTACACCTAGATTGTATTTGCAGAGCTCTGAAGGATGTCTGAACTGCAGAAGTGACTCAGATAAACAGAAACAGTCAACACAGAGCAAGATTTGCAGGGTTGCAGCTGTAAGGTGTTTTCCAGTTAGCACTGCAATGACAAGTAAGAGGAAGCAATACACTTCCCCTGCAAGACACAAGCAGCTCTTGTTTTCCAGATTATCCCATTAAACTTCTGGTAGATAAAACTTCAGTGTAACATTTAGATTTTAACTTACAATCAATAACATTATACTCAAATAGCAGTATAGAAACTGAAAACACCAAAGTGCTAATCATTAGACATTTCATATAAAATTTCACATGAACTTACTTGTTTTCATAGCTCTAACATTAAAGCAAAGCCAAATCAAACTTACTTTACAAACTTACCAGCTCTTTTATCCGTTTTCTATGTCTGCTGTGGGGATTGTTCAGATGACTTGTAAGATCAAATATAGTTGGCACAGCATTATCTCTTAAAACTGTTCTGTAAGGGCTCTGTAAAGACATCCAGATTAGTGTTGTCTCTGGGAAGCAAGCATAGTCTCTGAAATTCTGTGTTTTTGGGGAGGAAAAAAAGCACAGCCTCTGAAATGTTGTGGGTTTTGTGTTGTGTGTACAGTGAGCATCACCTATGAATTTCTGTTGGTTTTGTAGAAAGATTTTTTTTCCAGTTAATTATGTTCATTTTCTGATGCATCAAAACAGACATATAGTTCTACTATGCAACACCCATTTTCAAGAAGACTGAAAACGAGAAGAGATGTTTAAGAAAATAAGTATAACCACTTTTTCCACCCCTTTATCTTCATATCACAGATCCCTGGTGCAGCAATTTAAAGTTATTTGAATATTATGATTATTTTTTAATAAATTTTCTGGATGTTACAGACACTGATGCATCAGAAAGAAAACACTTTGATCATCCTGAAGGAAAGCACATCTGTCAGATGAAGAAGAGGAAGGCTTCTAGATGATCATATAAATGTTTCCAGCAGTTAAAATGTTTTAAATAGAAATTTAAGTTCACAGTATATGCAAATATACATTGTCTAAATTGAACTGTTTCCATCAAGAACAGACCTTTAACTGACCATGTTTAGACATGTCACTGGACAGAAGATTTCAAACAGTTTCATGAAGCTTCATTGCAGATCCAGAATTACTTCCAGTGGGCATTTTCTGTTTTGTTTCTGGGATGCTGCCTAAACAAAGACCCTGTCCTGTGTACTACCACTAGGAACTCAGTCTGACCTACATGTTTTAATTATTCTATATAATGAGAAGATCAATTCCGACTATTTCAGTCTAGAAATCAAAATTTGGTACAAAGCCACAAATCTATCATTTCCTACTGCTAAGTAAGCTGTTAAAAAAAATCAGCATCATCTTAATGAAGTAATAGCCTTCAATTCTTCATGCTAACAGGAAACAGTACCATGATTTTCGCTGGATAAAAAATAGCAGGAACCAAAAGCCTGACGGATACACAGAATGTTTAAACCTCTTGGCCACAGCTGAGGGCAACTGAACTGAACTGCACGATGTACACACTTCACTAACAGCACACTAATGATCTTCAATAATTAGAGGTATGCAAACATATATTCTTACACCCAGTAAACGTAAATAATGTTGTAATACACAGTGACAGTAAACAAAATGAACAGTTTTGCACGAGGAAAGAACTGCAGTGAAGACCAGAGCTAGACAATCATTAAGCCAGCAGAAGCAGTTCTGCATTTCTTATCCCAAACTGCTTGCTTCCACCTCATCCTTTGCCAGTACAGACATCTGCAAGTCTGTACAGTACCCTGGGCCACAACAACAAGGTCAGTTAGAACTAAGATTTATTTTCCCAGAGACCCAGGAGATCAAAGATTAAATGCAGCAATCTGATTAAAAAGAATCTTAATCACGTTCTGCAAGGTGCAATAAACAAATGCTTGGTTTTACTCACACTTCTACATATCATCGAGGTCTCAAAATGCTTAGCGCACAGTCTGTAGTGCTTGTTGAGTTGATCTGGAGTTTTATCTTCTAAATCTGCCCTTCGACAGTTCTCTACCCATCTTTGACACCTGCATGTAAGCAGAAAATGTTAGCTAGTTTTAAGTTTAAACCAAATGCCCTACAGTTTCAAGCTTGGCTCATAATCAGTTTGCAGTGAGCCCTGCCCTTCATGAAAGGCCGTAAAGAATCAAAAGATCTTTCAAAAATCTTTTATCCATTTGCTTACCATTCAGTATCACCCAGGCAGTCACTACTACCAATAACGGATGTAACTTAGTCAGCTTGTACTTCCCCCAATGGGGTCGATGCAACCGCATTTGAGCAGCATAGAGCATCCACTCTCCATGTTTGGCCCCTCACTGCAAGAAGGATATTGAGGGCCTGGAACGTGTTCAAAGGAGGGCAACAAAGCTGGTGAGGGGTCTGGAACACAGACCATATGAGGAGAGGCTGAAGGAGCTGGGAATGTTCAGCCTGGAGAAGAGGAGGCTCAGGGGAGACCTCATTGCTCTCTATAACTTCCTGAAGGGAGGTTGCAGTGAGCTGGGGGTCGGCCTCTTCTCTCGTGTCATTAGTGATAGGACCAGAGGGAATGGTTTCAAGCTACGGCAGGGGAGATTCAGGCTGGACATGAGGAAGTATTACTGTTCAGAAAGGGTGGTCAGGCACTGCAATGGATGCCCAGGGAGGTGGTGGAGTCACCAAGCCTGGGGGTGTTCAAGCAAAGGCTGGATGTTGTGTTGAGGGACGTGGTTTAGTGGGAGCTGTTGGGAATGGGGGAACGGTTGGACTGGATGAGCTTTTAGGTCTTTTCCAACCTTGGTGATTCTATGATTCTGTGATCCAGTAAAACTCATCTACTATTTCATTTGCTCAGTAAATTATATGTGTAAGTTAAGAAGATTCCAGCAATCATTAATATCTCAGTATTTAGAAGTTCAAAATAAGAACAAGTCCCACAAAGACAATTCTCTGAAGGAACAGCGTTGTAATGGACGTGCACCTTGAGGCACCACAGACTCACCACATACAGTAACAAACGTTACTGTAATCTGATAGAAGGTTTATTATTGATAATTCTATCTGTGTAATGAGGTTACACAAGCTCCTACTTCTCCTAGGCCAAAACCCTCCCCAAACTAACTGAAGAAAGCCAGAAATAGCTACATTACCAAGAATCACAATGCTATCTCAGTAATCCTACAGTAAAAATGAGAAGGAACTTTCATTCTCAATGACTTCTTTTACAACACATCACTTTGCTACATACTTCTCAGCTTTTCAACTTAGATTTCTCTCTCTCCTTGTTTTTTTAATTGGCACTTGGAACAAAAAAGTAACAGCAGCAACAAGAACCATAAAACAGGAATCATTTCTAATAGATTATTCTCATAGATTCACAGATAACATCTTTTATTAAAATAAAAACACTTCTCTTGCTCAGCCTTTTGGCAGCATAGCAGAACGCTCTTCCTTTAACCACACAGCATAAAGAGGCTTTTTTACATTGGAGAACTTTAAGATGCAGGCCATATTCAGTCCAGCTCTAATACTTCCTAAGCAGGTGTTCCAATTACCAAACAATTAAGGGCAATCATATCGGCTGTCGCAAAGGCTGATGAGACTCCTGATAGTGAATGGAGAATGCTTCAGTCCAGACGGGTGGTCAGAACAAGAGCCTGACCTTACATGCTTTTCTCCACTGACTCAGGGTGGCTGAGGAAGACCACCACAGAGCAAAGTCAAAGCCTCCTGCTTTATGATAGCTCTTCTGAATCACCTCCTAGCAAACACAGGAACAAACTGGTGGCAGCAATGGCACATATACAGCACATACATCAGAGCTGGCATACAGTTGTCAAAGCAGTCAGCCCAAACCCCTCTATCTCCAACATTGCTGCCATCCAGAAAACAAGTTAAGTACATACTAGTAGAAGGTAGGCACCATATCAGACTCTTCAGCAACATCAAAAGGCACCACAAGCTTCTCAGAAGAGCCATACTGGGAAAAAGAGTTGCACAAAGATAAAATTACCAAAAGCTCCTCTCCTTTCTTGTTTTCTCCCCTGGTTACATAAAGTCAGCTGTGGCTGCCACCTTCTGTGCTGAAATCAGCTCCTGAGTAAATGATCTTGGCACAAAGAGCCTGAGTTTGTGGCACCAAGCTCTTCACCCACTGGAGCATAAGATCTGTAACTGGAGCCCTAGGCATCTATGGAACTTCAGTGGCAAAGACTGGAGTGTTGGTATTTTGTCAGGTGGCCACACAACTAAAGGGAGATGGTAAATGTTAAGAGTAATAACTGACTGTCATCAGTTAGTGACTCACAAGTAAGCCATTCCTACAACCATAACTGAGATTCAATTCCATGGGCACCTCTTTTTGCAAACATTAATTTATGCTGTTCAACTCACTGTAGCTGACACACATTTTTTCCAAAAGACCTTTACGCTTCCACAAACGATGGCTGATAGTAAATACATTAAGAAGTTTTAAGTATTTCAGTTTTAGTTTATAATTCCAGTAACTGCACATTTCTGGACTTCTTTCTGACATGCTACAACGGCAAATGTTAAACCAAAGCTCCTTTCAATACAGAACTTATGAACCGAGAAAGGTATTTTCTTTACACAATAAACAGAATCACACAGAATCACAGAATCAAAAGGTTGGAAACGACCTGCAAGATCATCTAGTCCAACCACCCTCTCATTCCTATTAGTACCACAAGCTACTAAACCATATCTCGTAGCTCTATCATGTATTAAACTATCATGTATTGACCAGCTTTGAGTAACTTGACAACATTCAGATTTTCCAGCAAGGATTCCTTACAAATTATGCCTGAAGCTCAGACAGCACCAAAACCCAATTTTGCAGAAAACACTTCTTCCTTATATCCAACCTTAATCTGCCCTTCTTTAATACGAAATCATCTCCCTTTGTCCTATTCCCGTGAAAGAGCCTGTTCCCTTCTTTCTTACAGCCCCGTTTTAGATTCTGACAGGCTGCTCTCCCTGGAGCCTCCAGGCTGCACAGCCCCAGCTCTCTCAGCCTGTCCTCATGGGAGAGGTGTTCCATCCCTTGGATCATTTTTGTGGCCCTCCTCTGGATATGCTCTACCAGCTCCATGTCTCTCCTGTACTGAGGACTCCACATCAGGTCACAGTACTCCAGGTGAGGTCTTACAGCACAGAGCAAAGGCACAGGACCACCCCCTTGCCCTGCTGACACTGCATTAGATGCAACCCAGGATACAGTAGGCTTTCTGGGTTGTGAGGACACACTGGCTCACGTCCAGCTGCCATCCACCAGTATTCCTAGGTCTTTTCAGCAGGGCTGTGCTCCATCCTTACATTTCCCAGCTTGTACAGATAGCAAGAGTTGCCACGAACCACGTGCAGATTTGCAATTGGACTTATTGAACCTCATGAGGTTCTCCTGGGCTCACTGCTTAGCCTGTCGAGATCTCTCTGGATGGCATCCCATCCCTTGGACACGTTGACTGCACCACACAGCTTGGTGTCGCCCGCCAACTGCTGAGGGTGCACTCGATCCCACTGTTGATGTCAGTGATGGAAATGTTAAAAAGCACTGGTTCTCACCACCATTTTAAGCCACTGACCACCACTGATCTTGCAACCAGTTCCTTGTCCATCAAACAGTCCATGTATCAGATCCATATCTTTCCAACTTGGAGAGAAGGATGTTATGGGGGACTGTGTCAAAGGCCTTACTGAAGTCCAGATAGATGACATCGGTGGCTCTTCCCTTGTCCATTGTCACAGCTAGGCCATCATAGAAGGCCACAAAGTTGGTCAGGCAGGATCTGCCCTTAGAGAAGCCAAGCCAGTTATCCTGTATCACCTCCCAGCCTTCCACGTGCCTTAGCACAGCTTCCAGGAGAATCTGCACCATGATCTACAGTGGGACAGAAGTGAAACTGACAGGTTGATTTCTACATCTAAATACGTCTTACTTCTCACTGCACTTTCCATGGCCTAAATCAACTCATGCAACTATTGCTTTACCAGCGCACAGATTCTGCTTGGAATTTGGAACTTGAATACCTCACCACTTTTGTTGCTTAGGATGCTCTACCATTGATCACCAACTCACTGACAGCTGCTTGTCACAAAGGTTGCAAGTCTCTGGATGCAGTACTCCAGATGGGGCCTCACGAGTGCAAAGTCAAGAGAGACAATGACCTCCCTTGCTCTGCTGCCAGCCCTCTTTTGATTCAGCCCTGGGTATGGTTGGCCTCCAAGGCTGCAAATCACACTCAGTTTAATGTGACCCGGGGTACTGTTAGCCCTCTTGGCCACAAGAGTACACCGCTGGCTCATGGACGACCTGTCATCCACCAGGATTCCTATGTTCTCTGCAGGGCTACTCTCAATGAGTTCTTCTCCTAGCCTGTATGCCTATACAGGACTGCCCAGACTCAAGTGCAACACCTTGCAGTTCGCATTGTTGAACCTTGCTTGGTTCATGTGGGCCTACTTTTTACGTCCATCCAAGTCCTTTCTTTCTGTTGTGTCAACTGCACCACTCAGCTTGGTGTCATCAGCAAACATTCTGAGGGTGCACTCAAACCCATCACCTATGTCACTGACAAAGATGTTGAACGTCACTGGTCCCAAGTCAGACCCTTGGAGGACACCACTCCATGACCAACTTCAATTGGGACATAGAGCCATTCACAACCTTTCACTTCACAGAATCACAGAATGGCCAGAGTTGGAAGGGACCTCAAGGATCATGAAGCTGCAACCCGCCTGCCACCAACCTCCCCATTTAATACTAGACCAAGCTGCCCAGGGCCCCATCCAATCCGGCCTTGAACATCTCCAGGGATGGACGGGGTATCACAGCCTCTCTGGGCAGCTGTTCCAGCACCTCACCACTCTCTCTGTAAAGAATTTTGCCCTGACATCCAACCTAAATCCTCCCTCCCTCATCTTCAAAACATTTCCCCTTGTCCTGCAGTTATCAACCCTTTCAAAGAATTGATTCCCCTCCTGTTTGTAGTCTCTCTTTAGGTACTGAAAGGCTGCAATGAGGTCACTACTTAACCTTCTTTTCTCCAGACTGAACGAGCCCAGCTCCCTCAGCCTGTCTTCATAGGGGAGATGCTCCAGTCCCCTGATCGTATTTGTGGCTCTCCTCTGGACCCTCTCCAACAGCTCCCTGTCTTTCTTGTACTGGGAGCTCCAGACTTGGACACAGTACAGCAAATGGGGCTCCACAAAAGCAGAGTAGAGGGGGACAATCACCTCCCTGTCCCTGCTGGCCACCCCTCTTCTGATGGAGCTCAGGGTTCCATTTGCTTTCCAATGTGCAAGAGCACACTGCTAGCTCATGTTATGTTTTTCATCCATCAGGACCCCCAGGTATTTCTCTGCAGGGCTGATTGCGACCATCCAACCAATTCTTTATCCATTCAATTGTCTGGGCATTGAGCCATTCTGCCATTTATGAAATGACTGAGACTGGAGACACTCCAGGGTCCTCCGAACCCAACCCTGCCCCAGCAGAGCCCCCTACAGCATAGCATCCAGAGGGGTTTTGAGGGAGGGCACTTCAAAACCTCTCTAAGCACCACTTGGCATGGAATGGGCTATTGATGAGCACGGGACACCTGTCAAAGCAAGGCATCCTCAGAGTCAAGCAACCCTTCACTCCCTCACACCCTAGCACCCTCTCACAGTGCCGTTCAGAGGCAGGAACGCCCTCCCTCACATTCCTCTTACATCCAACCTCCCCCCACTCCTCACAAACACAACCCCCACATGCAGGGGTGCAGCGGGAGCAGCGAACGGCCGCCTCGACGCATGCGCAGCAGCGCTCCCGCCTCCCGCCGCGGGCCGGAGGGTCCCGCAGAGCCCCGCCCCTCGGGCACCACAGAGCGGGCGGCCGCCGCCAGGAGGAGAAGCGGGCGGCTCCTGACAGTGAAGCCTTCCCGCCTAGGTGAGGAGGAGCACGGAAAAAAGGAGGAGGGAGGGAGTGAGCCGCCTCCCAGCCGGGATGTCAGGCCGGGATGCGAGGGGAGAAGCGAGGCCCGGTGCCCGCTCCCTCCTCCCCGCCGCTCCCCGGTTGTCTTTCCCGATCTGGGCTCTCACCTGACCGGGTCCCGGGGAAAGCGGAAGAAGGCCAGGTCAGACTGCGTGCTCTTGCGGGTGCAGTTGGGGGCCGCGCAGAAGTTCGGCATGGCCCCCCGGATCGGTGGGGCTGCCCCTTTAAATCCGCCGAGCCGCGGGGGGGGGGAGGGGGGGATGTGGGGAGGAGGAGGAGGAGGAGGAGGAGGCGGCCGGGGGGGAGGGAGGGAGGAGGGGTAGGGGGGGGGAAGCGGCTCCACACTGCTGTGAGCGGCCGGGAGGATTCACCGCCACCCTCCGCCGGGAGCAAGGGCCGCCTCCTTCCCACAGTGCACCGGGCCCGGCCGCTCGCAGTGTGCATGCGCCATGTGGAGCCCGGATGAGAGGTGCGCATGCGGGCTGCTGGCGGGCCCTTCTGGCTTCCCGTCGTAGGGAGAGCGCGGGAGGGCGGCGCGCCTGCGTAGTGAGGCAGCCGCAGGGAGCGTGGCGCATGCGCAGAGCTGGGAGTGGGGTGAGGGGGCATGGTGTTTCCCGCCTTTTCTCCTGAGGGTATGTGAGGTTGGCAGTATGCAGGGAGGAAATAAGCCATTAATAAATTGTTCATTAGTGTTCAAATTAGTAGTGCCAGGAACCCGAATCTCCCCAGTTTCCGTTGTGAGAGTGCGTGAGCAAAGGAGAAAGTACGTGAAGCAGAAGAACAAAGGGCTAAGATCCTTTATTTCATGGTAGAAAGAGTTGTGCATTGAGGAGAAGCATTTACCTCATAGACACAACTTTAAGATCTTATTAAGATCACTAAAGTGATCGTATGAATTGTACAGCCCATTTAAATAACATCTGTGTGATACTCAGTATATTTAACCTGAAAACAAGCCTCAGTTACAGAATAAAGCCATAACCTTTTTCTTTTGTGTATTCTGTTTGGCTCTTCAGGAAGGCAGTAGCACGGACTGAATGGATATTAAGACAAACCAAGAGCTGGGCATTGAGTGTTGGAAAGTAATCGAAACAAGGAGCGTACCTGCTCTGAAGACTTCATCTCTCATTGGCAAAAACAGAATTGAGTTTGGAAAAAAAAAACAACAACAGAGTAAAAATTTGAAAAGTTAAGAGGATAGAGGAAAGGTTCAGACATGAAATGTGTTCTGCTCATAGCGAGAGAAAGCACAGCCATTCTGAAAAGCATATATGACGTCCAGCAAGAGTTGTTAAAATGCAGTAGTTCTCCTTTGCTATGGACATCTCTTATAGAGTTTTGAAGACACACAGCATTCTGACAGATAAATGTGATGGGATTTTGGAAGCGTAAGCTAAAGAAATAAGCAAAGTATTTCAAACCAGTTTATTAAGTTTTTTAAAAAAACTCGTTTGGTTCCTTTTGGGTGGCCTTAAAGCTTTTTTATTTTTTATCCAGCTTTTTTTTTATTTGGTGTGAGAAGAATTGTCTGTTAAATAAGGAAGCCTTATTAACAAGTGCCCTTCAAACTGCGAATCTCAAAGTACATCTCATTTGGACTGATAAAATAGCATGAGTTTATGTGATGTTAATTCCTTACCAGAATTTTGGCTATGCCATTTAGCTCTATTCATACTTTTTGAGTAGTTTCAGCTGAGGCTGAAGATGTGTTTAGCTGTACCTAATTGCTCTCATTGTCTAGACAATCATCAACATTTATATCCAGTGAACTGTGTAAGGGAATTAATCAGATCAGAAATAGCTTTTTTTGATTCTTAAATACACAAATTTATCTCAGATAGATTAGTTTTAATTCAGGTTAATTTGTTTGATTTGCTTTGCAGATTGCATGAATGCTCATGCTGATGTAGGGAAATACACAAGAGAGCAGGATCATTTTCAATCACAGTAGTGGTTTAGCAGCATGACTGTGTTATATTAGCTTGAAGCTTCCTAATTTAAAACACTTTTAAAACCTGTTTCAGTATGAAAAAAATGCCTCTTTTCCCTTAACTAGTAATGGCAGTGCTCATATATTTTGCCAAGGATTGAAGGGCCCTTTTTCCCTTCAATACTGATCCATCAGAAAAGGGAATTGCGTGCAGAAATTAAGACTCCGAAAAGCCAAACCAGAAGACTACAGTGATATTAAAAATAAATTAACTGTGGTATATATTTCCCAATGACAACGTCTGATTGAAGTATCACCATACAAGAATGTTATAGCTGTTATTGTATTTTGTTTTTTTTTTAAACTATCCTCTGGGTTATTCAAATGTTGTTCACAACGTATTTCCAACCTTATTTGTATAACTGAATAGAGATCATGTGCTGTGTTAAAAGTGTTATGCAGGTAATCTGTATCATCCAGATAAATTATTAAAGGAATTCTGTCTGTTCATATGTGTTCATGTGGATTTTTAATTGCTTTATTTCACCACTGCTGAGGTCAGATGAACTCTAGCACTTTACGTAGCATTGTAGTGGTTGCAAAATAATCTCTTTAATGTGCTCCTGGAATGAATGGGATGTCTCTTTCACAGGCTGCATCTTAGTATGCCTTTATTTTCTAATAGCATTCAAATACGATTGTGGTGTTCTGTAGGTTTCCTGTTACCAAAATTTTATTTGCAAGACAGTATTTAAAGTCTAATATCCTTTAATGAATTTCTGTTACGTGGTCTGTTGCAAGTCATATGGCTTGCAATATATTGTTGTTGGGATAACTGTCAGAACTAAAAATGTCAGTTTAATCCCATGGATGTCTGTATATGTTTGTATCTGCGTCCCTGCTGAAACGTGATGAAATTTGCAATGACAGGATGAAAAAAGCAGTGCTCATGTTAAGAACTTGCCTATAGTTCTGGAGGATTGAAAGGCAAAGGTGGGGAATAACGTTGTACAGTACATGAGAGGACCTCTGCAAATGCATTTTGAAGTATGCAGTGCTGGTGACCAATGTGCAGCTGAATTGTGACTCTAAGTAATGCTGCATTCTGGCTCCATCCTGGTGGTTAACTTTTTGCAAATGAAAGTTAGTGAAAACCTTTGAGGATCATCAGGCGAACTCCCATTGTGTTGTCCCCGTTTTACTGGGATCTTTTATTTCACAGAAATCATGGCTGATTCAAAGAATGCTGGTTCTTGCAGGTTTTGTATCAAGTCTGCACTGAGAGAAAGCAGGACGATTGGCTTTGTGCCACTCAGCTTTTATGCAGGGGTACAATCTGTGTCAGTCAAGGTCGGCCCAAACAATGTTATTTATGCACTGGCATAGCTTTCCAAATGACCTATCCTAAGTTAAAAACTGTCTGCCTTCTGGATTACTGCTATTCCTCCCTTCATGGGAAGCAGCTTTCTTAATTATAAGCAGTTGTTGCAGTTTCTGAGAAGTTCCTCCAGCCAAAGCAGACGATTACCTCCTGTGCTGCTCTGTGGGCAGCACATGCTAGCAGAGCCATCTCTAGCTCTGGCACAAATTCACAAAGCAGCAACCTAACAAATTCCTGTCCATCTGCCCATTTGGAGGCATTCATTTATAGTTGGTGATGCTAACCTTAATTTACAGTCCTTGTTTCCTCAATCCATTGCCTTGGTTATACAATATATTGATATGAGCATTCAGAGAGAAAAGCCTTTCAAAATACAGACGTTAGCTAATCAGGCACTGCCAGTCAAATATTTAATATGTGTACAGTAAGCTATATTCCCATTTCATCATGTTCTTTTTTTTCAATATCACCATAAAAGACTTTCTGTATACATTTTTTTTTCACTTATACGATCGTCATTTATACCAGCATAGAGCTGGAGAACACAAGACATCTTTTATTCTTCCTGTGTGCGTGCCTCAACCCAGGAGCAGCAGGCAGTCTGTGTGCATGGTATCTGGTCATGTTAAGAGAATCCTCTTGAAAAGTACATGCTTTTCCCAAAATTTCAGGGACGACTGCACAGTGACAGAGATGTTACTCATTACTCCAGTTTGCAGACACAGCACCAGCTTGCTTTTCCATTGGCACACTTTTATCCTGCAAAAATACGGTAAGTGTTCAGAAAAATAAGATGAGGAAATGCCTGCTTTCATTGGCCACCTAGGTGTTAAAATCTTTAATTATTTTTCCTATTATCACCTTAGCTGCTTTTGTTGTCTGGTCCCTGTATAGTGATCACAGCTATGCAATCCATTGCTGCCCCAGCATGCATTTTTAGCACTTTTAGCAAGTTAAAGTGTAATGACATCTTTGATCCTTTTCCCATGCTTTCTGTTTTGGGAAATGCCTTTGCTTCCTTCTCAGTGCATTGTTAACCAGTATTATACATAACAAAGAGAACAGAGGTATGCATCTGTCTCCCTGAATCACAGAAGCCTCTGACTTTAAGCTGCTCTTTGACATGCCTCAGAATGACACAATGGAGTGGGTTTTTTTTAAATATTGTTTCAGGTTATATAATCAAGCTTTTGCCTCCCTGTAGTGTTTAAATAGATGCTTGACTCCAGCGGTGTTTCCAAGCATTAGGTTTCGCTGAATTTAGCTACTTTCAGCACTGAATTTCTTTCCATTTGCAAAATAGATAGAGGTTTTAAATATACACGTATTACTTAAAACGGGTGGAAAAAATAATTGGCAATGCAAAGCTCGCTCCGGTGAAATAAGTTGAAATATTGTTGTGGATTCGAGTACAAATAGTTCTGAGCCCACTGTGACAATCCCTGCTTCTGACAAGGCTGTGCATAAAAGGCTCCCCTGGCAAGCTGCCATTGCCTGAATGTTGCTGAGGCTTCTGTTCCTATCTCAGCCGCGAGGAAAATGTGATGGGAAAGGGTTTGAGGAGGGGGAAAGTTTAGGAGTCGTCTGAGGGTGATGGAATAAAATCAAAACGGAGATGCTTATGTCAGGAAAATGTAGCGAGTCACTGAATGATCTCTAAAGAGAAGTGGAAACTGTTGGTTAGGCCATTTAACATGGAAACAACAACAATAAAAAAGACCAAGAAAGGATTTAATTTGTGTTAGAATCTCAGCTATCTCTTCCCTGTGCAAAACATGGAACGTATTTTAAAGCATCTTTAAATTCAAAAAAATTTTACATTATCTACAAAGTTTCATTTGTCTTAGTATAAGAGTGTCGTGGCTTTCTTGACTGCTGATAAAATATTTTCTTGATTTTCCAATTCTACTTTTCAAATTATCAGCACAAAACTC